CATTAGATACTATTTCCTCCTCAAAAAAAAAAAAAGAAATACGCGACGAGCAATCAACATATTAGTATGTAGCCAAATCATCCATCTTTATACGCACCACTGATATACAAAAATAATATGTATTTGCATTAAAAAAACAACATGTACAATGATAGGACTTAGAAAAATCTGCTTATAAATGTAACCACAAAATTTATGGCTACATCAATCCTGTTTTTTTTTAAAGGCTGTAAACGAAAAATTACTAATAAAATTTTAAAAGGAAAGTATGAATGCTTTAAAAATAAAATTGAACTTGGTCATAATAGCAATATGGAATAATCAAAACACGTTACGAGTGAAATAAAAGTTACATCAACATAAATATAAATGTCCATTATTTGGTTATAAAAGGCTTATGATTTGATATATTTAAGTAAACAATAGAATGCATCTGTTAAAGCTATCACAAATAATATATTTTCTTCTAGCTAAAGTAAAATTAATTCTTACATTTAAAATTCACTAAAATATTTCATAGTAACGATTTTATTCTGGAAGATAGAAAACTGAGGCGTCCCGTGACTCGAACCGTAAAAAAATTATAATTATCTTCAATCACAGTATTTTTTGAGGCTACTGGGACTACGGTTCGAGTTCTTGTGGTCCCAGTCGACAGAAGCCTCAGAAAACTAAGAAATTAATGTCATTGAAATTGAGCCCTAGTAAACACAACAATTACAAATTGAATCATAACACCAACTTAAAACAAAACGACAAAAATAAAGAAAAGTGCAAACTGTCTCTCTTGTTTCCATGTGAAAACCTGGCCAGTTACAAACCGGAGTCACATTTCTCCATACATTAAGGCCATTATTCATCTCTTCGTCCAAACACCAAGCATTTACATATAAGGTCACACTGTCGCACAAACACACCGCTTTATTTTCCTAACTTTTTATATGAAACTTTAGGAAAAATCCGTCCACAAGGGAGTCCACTAAATTAACCATATTCAAAGGAATGTGATGTTTCAATTTGTACGCGACGGGGTTGTCAGTAAAAAAATGGACGGAATGGTTGACCGCTCGAAGAAGTTAAAGATCTAAAGGATTTTGCGACCTCCATGTTGTAAAAAAGAACTATATAATAATAATCTTTGTGCAGGACGTTTTGATAAATGACCCATAAACGTTTTGTTGTTATTGATATTTCGTTTTTACGAAGATATACATTACTATCTGTATGACGAAGAAGTTAATATACAGTTTACGATAAACTATCATAACGTATAAAATTATCTGCATGAAAAATATTAATCTTATCCTAATATTTACTAAGACTTGCAGCAGAAAATTAATGTCACCTTCAGCAGTAGAATTTCCTGGCATCTTGTGTACCTAAGCCTCGTGCCAAAAGCCCGTGTTCTAGATAATTCACAAATGTTTTTGCATGTTTATCGAAAACAGTTTAAGAGTTTCGATGATCGTGTATTCTGGGAAATTGACTTTTATCTGAATTCTACTCGTGTAGTAGATTAGTTTTTTTTTTTTTAATATTGTGACTTCGTCAACGATTACCCTAGGATTTCCTCAGGGTGCCAAGATTATTAAAATCATGAAGATGAGATAAAACCTATAATTTTTGAACTTGTTTTGTATTCACTAATAATAGCAATGTTGACTGCTCGGTGATGCGATGGCTAAGCAACCGGTAGCCGTTCAACATTTATCGCGAGTTCGATTCCTGCACGGAACCACTCATTGTGTAATTGTTTTTCCGGGTCTGAGTGCGTTGTATATGTGAAATTATGTGTAAACGCATCCACTGCGCGGGGGCAAATCCTAAAGTGGGACAATCTCTTTAATAATATTTTTAATTGACGCTCTGAATAGATTTTAAAACTACAATACAAAAAATATCTTTCATTATTCAAAATCATGCGTTTTATGAAATAAATTTAAGGAATCTTATATGTGATGTCTTTATAGATAAATTTGAATAGTCGCATCGATGTAACGGTATCAAGGTAACTTAACGCATTATAACACAAATTTTTTCAATCAATTTTAGACTTTGTTACCAAACAATAAAACACTTTACCACCTGGTATTTAAACATAAAAACTTTTCGTGTCCACTGAACTAGCTAAAATTTTTCTCCCAGTAGTTTCAAAAGCTAGCCGATCGATATCGGTCTAATATTAAACGCTAAAAATTTAACAAAAATCCATTTTATCTGGAACACCTGACCGAATTTTTAACTCTAAAAACTTTCTTTTAGTATTTTTTCGTTTCTCCTAATAATAGCGGACAACGCTCTGCATTATACATACATACAAAGTTAAATAACATAGAGAGGTATGCAGGTATAAACGGAAAATTGTAAAGTGTACATACCTAATAACAGGCTTAATTCCAAAACAAGATCTCCAAAAGAAATTAGGCATTGAGAGCTAAATTTTTATGTTTTTTTTTATGTTATAGGTCGGCAAACGAGCCGCCAAAGGACACCCGCAACGGAGGAGTTACGAGTACGTTGTGGACCTATTAGGGATTAGGGTTTTTGGAGATTTAGGGATTGGGGAGGGGTCGGTGGAGGGGAAGGATTGGGCCTCCAGTAACCTCACTCACACGACGAAACACAACTCTGTGGTTTTATCACGCCTTTTTTCTGTGAGGCCGTGGTATCATTCCGGTCGAGCCGACCCATCTTTTTTTGTTTAAAAATAAGCGACATTATATTTGTTGACAGAGCAAAATCATACCTTGTAGCTCTTCTGATATATTAAAATACTTTACATATAATGTGGGTGTAGATCAATATCTATATTTGAACATCGAGCGCCTATTGGGTATTGGTTCTTATTAAGACAATGAAATCATTCAACCCCGCAATGGTATGTTTGATCAGCATGAATAATTTGACCGGTTCGATCATATTTATTTTATATTATATTAATTTGTTGTATTGGCTTAATGTGAGATACTGTTTAGACAAATTGTCGCAAAAGCGACTGCAGTAACCTCAATATAGTATTCCCTCCCACCTTTTCCGCGTCCAAGTTTTTGGGTAGATCCCATTTGCAATAGTCCTCAAAATAAAACATTTATTGATAATATATTTATTTGATAGAAAAATGTTTTTATTGCAATAAAATACTGGTTTATTTTCTGAAACTTTCTTTATTTAAAAAAAAAATATTTTCGGACCTAAAGCATATGTCATTACTGTAAAAGTCAATTACGGCAGATTAGAGGTTCATGTGATTCATCATTATCATCATCAGCCTATAAATACCCACTCAGAGCAAAAGCCTTTTCGTATATGAAAAAATCAATGAGCATTTTCTCACTACGATTACTTAAGGTGGATTAGCATGTATATGAGTCCAGATTCGATTTTTTTTCGTACAAAAATGTCAGTGGTTTTTAAATAACATCAAAAAGATGGCCAGGTTGTATTTCGCCGTACCCTCACGCAAGTAAAGCGGTCGCCTTAACCACTGGACCACCGCGCACGCTATTATAGCAGCGGTAAGACCCCTCTTTGAGGAGTGGCTTGAGAGACGCCACGGCGTCCTCACCTTTCGCCAGGCGCAGGTCCTTACCGGGCACGGCAGCTTCGGTAGGTTCCTGCTTCGGATCCAGCGGGAGGAAACGCCCGAGTGTCATCATTGCGAGGACCACCTAGAGGATACGGTGGAGCATACGAATACGAAAAAGGTGACTAAATAATGATTATCAAATGATCACACTGAGTTTTTTTTTTATCTTGGCAACCTCGGAAGTGAGTAGCCCGGTCGATAGCTATTCCACCATGCAAATGGGTCCCCAACAATAGCTCATAGGCATTGTGTACATGATAATAGAGGCCATTTTACCGCACCACGAGATTTTCTCCTAAATTTATACGATTCCTTACAAATTCTGTTGAGATACATATATGTATTATTTATATCTGTATAGGTTTTTTATTATGTTTACTAGTATATTATGTAATGTTGTTCATGTAATATTCTTCGAATGATTTTGAGTAAGTACGTAAGTATTCTCTTATAAGTATATAAAAAATAGTGTACCAAAAAACACCATAAAAACAAACAGCATACAACAAAATCTGGTTTTCATCGAATTTAAACTATTTACCTGACTTAAATAAGCAAGTCTTTTAAATCAATTAAAAAATCGAATCTATGACGCCAATCATATTATAAACATATAAAAACAATTAAAATATATGTAGAACAAAGAAAGAACTAAGCACTATATCAACAACGAAAAGTAAATCGTCAACAACAACCTCTAAAACACTTTGAAAATAATAAACTATCTTGAAATTGCAAGGAACGCAGTTAATTAGAAAGGAAAACAGAATAAATTGCTGTTTACGTGAAAAGAAAATTCTAATTGACTATTAAGTAAGCGGGTGGAGTGAAAGTAGGAAAACTTGAGATTTTTATACAAAGAAAGTTAAGGGTTTATAACCTTCGTGCCTTAGTGTGGCTTGGTTAACTAGTTTTAAAGTGTAAAGTTAAATAAAAGTGAGCTATTGAAGTGTTTAAGCTATACGAATATATATAGAAACCATACTATTTAAAGAAACCACGTGCAGTTTAAGTTTAGCTCGTATTTATCGATAGTAACAATTTACTCACGTGAGTTAATCGCGCAGTCTACTGAACAGTACCTCCTTTCTGTATTTGTTAAGTGATGCTAAACATGTCTATTTTTCGAGTTACTCCTAAAAAAGTCAATAGAGAAATGTCCTTCTTGAGAGGTCAGCCTTGATTAAATCTTCTATTACACCCTTTTATCGCGTCTTTTTATGTCTTTTCCGGAATGAGCTGATTTTTATCGTTTTTTTCTTCTATTTTAAAGAAAGTTGACTTAGATTTCGTCTGACCGCCTCTCTAATTCATTAGCATTTTTTGTTTTGTACAAAACGTGGGAAAATCCTCGTTAGGGGGCAACACTAGGATTTTCTCCTGTGACGTGGTTGGGTTTGCCCGAAACAACAATTTATGGAACACACAAAGTGTTGTCCCGCGCTTGTATCGAACCTGCGACACGTTGCCCAGCAGCCAGTTGTCCAGCCACTACGCCAACTGTGCAGTCAATTCAAGACATAACGATTTACAAAGCATTATGTTTTATTATTTGCACTAGTTTTATTAGACTTGTTGTTTTGAAATCCGTAGACGCTTTAAATATTTTCTTGATATTGTAATAATGACTGTAATTATTTATAATAATTTCATTTTGGATTTCAGTCTAGTTCAGTCCAGTACAGTTTAACAGTAAAAAAGGTTGAAACATCAAGTTTATATTATTAAAATCTACGTAACATCTAAAACGTGACTTACCAACGACATGGATGTATGCTGACCGCACTTGTGTGTGGAAGGAGGGTGCATCGGCTGACACTTCACAGCGATATCTGCCGGCGAGTGCTCGAGTCGCCTCACGTAACACCACTTGCTGGGATGTCGATCTTGACACCTGAGGAAATATTATCATTTATTCACAAAATCTAAGTTTTAATGGTAGATTTTAGAGTCCATTTTAGTTTGTTTCTATGAAAATTTGGTTGAGTTCAAGATGGGTTTTTGAAATGATAAGATTTAATTATTTTTGAAAGCGATTTATGCCAGCAGATATGTGCTTTCAGTATATATCTAAGATTACAAGACAATTTACCCTTTACAGTTTAACTTTTTTGTTGTTTATATATTCATAAGACTATGCTCCACACTAGGATTTTCTTCTGTGTCGTGGGTACATTTACAAAAATATTATTACACAAATATACATCGTATTTAGAATCACAAGAAAACGCGACGTTGTGCGGCAGCTGATACCCCAGCAACCGCATCAGTGGTTTGGCAGTACAATTTATATTAAACTAAAATGCAAATTCTTAAAGTTTAAAACGCATTGTCTATAAATTTCATCAGAATTGAAAAAAAAAATGTAGACATTTTGAATAATCAATAAATGTGTACTTCAAATCATACACAATAACTATCATTTTTCTAAAGTTAATCTGTGTACATAGTAGACTATGCATATGTATTCTGAATAATGAATACATTTTAGTAAATTACTCAAAATAAAATCGTAAGCCCGAGGCCATTTGCATGATTTGGTTCACCCAACTATAAACTTTAAATATTGGTGTGTGTTATCCCGTTTTTATGGACGTAGGTATTTCATATTGAGTGATATTCAAAAATTGGTTTGTTGTGTAACTAAACACGCTTGTGGAATTTTAAGGGTTTTATTTCATGATTTCCATTCAAATCAATGGATAGAATTACCTATTCAAATTTTATTTCGAAGCATAATAATAATTTGATGAAATGGAACAAAAAATTACATTTGAATACAACTTGTTTTTTTAGAGGCAGTGAAACCACGTTTTTATTTTCTGGACAATTTCTTTATATGTCCTACAACATTGTTCACTGTAGATGTAGCTATAAGATCTGATTTTTTAATATAGGTATTATTATTCGTTAGTGAAAAAATCTGTAAAATAGTAGAATTATCATTATTGATCTTGAATTTAGTATAAGTCGGAAAATGAGCAAACAGAATACCTGATGGTAAGCAAATATCTATGGACTTCAAGTTACTACAACTGCGTTAGTTGAGTTAAGGATAAGGGATTTAAGGATTGAGAATGGAGGGAGAACTAAGCCTGCGGTAACCTCACACGGCGAAAAAACGTAAGTATTGCATAACGCTGGGTTTCTGTGAGGCCGTGGTATCACTGCGGTCGAGCCAGCCCATTCGTGACGAAGCATAGCCTAAGCATATTTCTGATTACATATGTAGTGTGGGAACTTATATGTAAGGAGAAATATTTCTAATTTCTAATATGTAATATATAATGCTGAAGCCTTGGTTTGTTGATTGTTTGAACGCGCTAATCTCCGGAACTGCTGGTTCAAATTAAACGAATCTTTTTGTGGTAGATAGATCTTTTATTGAAGAAGGCTACAGCCGAGAAGAAGGCTAGAGAAGACTAGACTTCAAGAAGAAGGCTAGAGCCCATATCATACAGCGTGGTGGATTTGCGTTTGTAATATATATCGAGATTAAAGCTTGAGGAAAAAAACATTAATCAAAAAGAAAACATTAGCAATATACCGCAGATTTATTTAAAAGGCATTGTCCAATAAACGGTTGGATGGTCACAACACGAGTCCAAAGTCTAGCACATCTCAAAGCGACGGGGGCGTAATTAAAACGCTTTTTTTCCATTTCAATGTCCAGCAATATCCTGTGTCCCACTTCTCCTTATTGATCCGACATTGGAAAATAAAATTGCAAGGCCCCCACCCTCTTGTTTACTGACCAAGCTTCGAGCTCATTTTAATTTCTCACGATATTTTCCCCTTTAATATCTTTGATGACAGGAAGAGTTGAGCAACCCATTGTTCGAACGATGCTCGCTTCATAATCTCCTCTTCCGAACGGGGGAATAAAAATTCCCATTGTATCGGAATCAGTGAGATTACTAAGATTTCTGTCGCATTTTATTTTGTCAGTTCCGGCAGGGCTGTCGCGGCGACGAGGCCTTCGTTTCTTCGATTGTCGATATTCGTACTAAACTCAAACACTCCATTTTTATTATGCGATAAAATTTTACTACGCTAGTTCGGAATACTGATTTTTATTGGGAATTTTCTTATTGGGATAATTGTATGTTGCCATAGAAATAATAGGATTATTTTTTAAGAAAAAAAAGTACTAACATTTTTTTTTTTATAATTGACGCAAAACGTGACCTTTCTAATGAGAGCTTTCTAGAGTCTTAAAATAGATAAGTAAATATCTTACAAAGGCCAAGTTAATACGTTTTAGTACATTTTTCATTCATTCCCCCGATGACCCTAAGCAAACATTATTAAATTCCTGAGCCCAACGTAATTTTCTAAAAGTAACCTCGGGCTATTTACTTTAATACGCCAGAAAATAACGTCACAGGTTAATAAAACAAGAATGTCCGGTCATCACAATTTTTTTTTCAAGGTTTTATAAAATTCATATAAGATTTTATATATCCATAAACAAAATATCACAATAACGGTAAAAACTTTTTATGAAATCTACAAACAGAAAAAAGTCTAAACTAATCAAACTGTGTGCATACAAAAATATAAAAAGTTGGTGCAATAAATCTATAAAAATAAAATTTGCAAGTATTTCAAACTCTATGCTAACGGGAATATGATTCAATTCAGACTGTGATTGAATTTTTAGAGGATTCCTTTATATCGCCGACACTACTTACTTCAGAACTACAGTAAGAAACTTTTTAAAGCGCTAGATGTGTAGGTACACATTTTTATTTAATTTTTCGTAGGAAAAATAATATAAAAATATTTATTTTTCGGTAGCAATTCAGCGGTATTGTAGTTTGTTTTTGTGAAAAAACTTTTTGTGTGCTTGCACTGAGAAATAAATAGAGAAATGTTGAGTTTATTCTTCCCAGTAATTCCTATAAAAACTTCTACATTAATTGACTGCACGTTTGGCGCGGTGGCTGGGCAACTGGCTGCCGCGCAACGTGTCACGGGTTCGATTCCCGCACGGAACAACTCTTTGTGTGATTCACAAATTGTTGTTTCGGCTCTGGGCGTGGTGTGTATGTGAAATTGTTTGTTTGTGAGCGCACCGACAACACAGGAGAAAATCCAAGTGTGGAGCAATGTGTTAAAAAATGAGTGAACTGTTTAAACATTCCTTGCTCTTATATTTTTTCGTGCAGAAATCTTTCTTTTTCTTCTCCCGCTCAGGGCGGGCGGCATAGGAAATTTCATACTCTTACTGACTAAAATCCAGCCGGTTGCTGGCCAAGTTGGTCAGAGTATACACGTTGGTAATATTGCTTGCAAACGCAACCTCAGCTGGACATCAGCAGATGCGATGCATACCAAATTAACTTGGCCTTTAATTATTTGTACTTAGAGACTATTTTACTTTAGAATTTTTTACTGCATGATTACTTATAGTTAATTGTCAGTGCACTCCATTCAAGCCGGTCCATTTGGGCCAAAGCAATCTCCTTCCGCTTTTTTTTTACTTTTTTTATATATTTTTATACGATATACTTTATTGATCCACTCAAAACATAATTTGGTTGCGATCGCTTTTAAAAATACTCGAGCGTTGAAGATTCTCTCTCGGTTCTCGAATTTTTATTTTAGTTTTATTTTTGGTTATTTTATATTATACGTACTTAGGTCTTAAATTATACAGAATTGGATGCTATTGTACTGATATTAGGTGATTTGGCAAGCCACTGGCAGACGAGTTCCCATCTAAAGTGCATTCACTACTGTAAGATATGATGTGAAACGTTGAACAAGAAAATCGATACTCATTTACATTTTTGCAGCCTCAAAATAAATATATTTGTAAATTTTCTGATCCATATAAGATTACTTTTATGTATCGTTTGTTGCAAGTGTTGTTATTTAGAAAACAATTTATATATTCGCTTACTTTAATGCTACATTTTGAGATTTAGACAAGAGTATTTCTAACTTTCCATATTTGTGATCATGTTGTGTAGCGGTTTAGATTTGAACATCGCACAGAGACCCTCGTACGAGTTTGTTTTTCGTTAGGTGATCGAGGTGCTTATGACGTTTAGCACTCTTATTAGTCCGCTGCAAGTTAACAAACCAATCAGAGAGCTGAACGCAGTAACATTGTGATCGCCTTAATATTAAACAAACTTGCACCAGGAACTCTGGACTTTCAAATTTTTTTAAGTCTGAAATCGCCAGTCCTCCTTAAGCAAGCGTAGTAATCTATTGCCTATTCCTCTTCTGTAAAAGAAAAGTCCTTAATTCTTCAAACCTCAAGCGAACGCCGGCGTTAGCTTACCTATTATTCTTCTGTTGTGTCTTGAAACTCTCAAATTATCATGATCGAAATGTTAAATCAGCAGTGGGATGATTACAGACTGGTAAAAAATAATAATACACACTCCAAAATAATTTATTTTTATTTTTCCTAGAAACATGAATTTGATCCTCTCAAAAAATTCCAGTAAATGTTATGGTTTCTTTTAAAAATAGATTTTAATCGTCTTTTGAAACAGGAAAATTGTATTCAAATGTAAAATATATTTATTTCTATTTGTATATGGACATAAATTTGATTCTCGTCAACAATAAAGATCTACATAGAATGAATTTAGGTTGTGTATACTTACGTATCGGAAACAGTTTTTTCTGGTTACATAATTCTTGTAACAGGTTTTATGTGTGAAGGCTTGTAATTAGCAATGTGATAATATTAGAGTCAATATAATTTATATATTAGTCTGTAAGCCTCCTTTAAAATGTAAAAATTAAAATAAAACAATATAACAATATATATAAGATTGAAGTTGATATGTCAAAAATATTTTACTGGTTGGGCGGCGAACGACCAGGTCTTATGATAAAAAATGACCAGTACCACTTATAGACAACTGCAAC